TTGACAAGCGCAGTCTGCTCTGATTGGCCAGCTGACCCAGTGCATTGTGATTGGCCAAACACCACAAGCACTCGTCGGAATTGTAACGTCCCTTAGTATAATCGTGAGCTAACATGTGAATATGTACAAATAATTATATAAATTTAAGCAGCAATCTGTTGTATTGTTTTTTACCCCCCAAAAAAATCTGTAAATGAACAATAATTTGTTCTTTGACTCCTTTATGTACGAGACATCATTACACCAGTAGATGGCAGCCAGTGAGTAGGAATAAGTAACCCTGGTCTAGGTGAATAGGATATATTTTTTAAAAGTGATATTGATAAAGGGTTACTCACCTGAAGAGAAGATCCAGCCACAAGCACAGCATCAGACTCGGCCAGCTTGTTATGCACAAAATTAACTGTAGTTCGGTTCACTACATCACCAAAGAACGTCACCTCAGGTTTGAGTACACCTCCACAGGCATCACATGCAGGTATTCTGAAGTTCAGCACCTGCTCGTCTTCCAGAAACACATCTCCATCTGGGGCCACAGCACCTGCACTTGCTGCCCAGCCAGGGTTAAGAGCTGCAAAACGCTTCTGAAGCTCGGCACGTGGAGTCAGTTGCCCGCAGTCCAAACACACAACCCTAAGAGCAGACCAAACATAAATTCACAAAAAATAGTTTTCTTTCCCCTCTCTTAGATTCTGCCGATTCTTTAACTCTGTAATCAAATAATCTTCAATCATGTCCTGCTTTACCTGTGTGTAGATCCATGAAGTTCAGTTAGTCTCTGTTGTCCAGCCTTACAGCATCAGACTCGGCCAGCTTGTTATGCACAAAATTAACTGTAGTTCGGTTCACTACATCACCAAAGAACGTCACCTCAGGTTTGAGTACACCTCCACAGGCATCACATGCAGGTATTCTGAAGTTCAGCACCTGCTCGTCTTCCAGAAACACATCTCCATCTGGGGCCACAGCACCTGCACTTGCTGCCCAGCCAGGGTTAAGAGCTGCAAAACGCTTCTGAAGCTCGGCACGTGGAGTCAGTTGCCCGCAGTCCAAACACACAACCCTAAGAGCAGACCAAACATAAATTCACAAAAAAGTTTTCTTTCCCCTCTCTTAGATTCTGCCGATTCTTTAACTCTGTAATCAAATAATCTTCAATCATGTCCTGCTTTACCTGTATGTAGATCCATGAAGTTCAGTTAGTCTCTGTTGTCCAGCCTTTGAGTGTAATGCATCTACATTCTGAGTGACAAGCCAGTGCAGTTTTCCTTTTTCCTCCCAGTCTCGTAATGTGAAATGCGCTGAATTCGGCTGGTGTGAGGAGAATTGTGGCCACCCCACGTAGTTCCGTGCCCAGTATCGTTGCCTTGATTTCGCACTGCGCACAAACTCTGAGTGTTGCATAGGCCGCCTGTTAGTCCGTGCGTACAGTCCCACACCTTCTGATCTATAGTCTGGAATTCCAGATTCAGTGGAGAGTCCGGCACCACTTATTACAAACAGACGAGAAGACTGTGACACAAAGGCCTGGAGTTCTTCCAAAGCACTGGAGTCAATTGAGCCACTTGCAGGAACAAATCGTTGTACACTAGCTTGTAGTGTAGAGGCACGTCTTCCCACTGCCACACAAGGTGGCAGGGATCTCCATGAAAACAGCATCTACAGGCCTGTTCGTACAATGGCAGATAACAACAAACAACTATTTATTAACAACAAACAACTGTTCTGCACAATAGTTGGTCTATTATCCAATGACATTTACATGTTATAATCTGAAATATGGTGAACCAAGTTGTTTAATAAATAAAGTTGTTCAGTTAATTTGTTATTCAATAAAATATTATTGGAAATGTGTTTCTAATATACATGGAAAATTACCTAATAATAACAAAACCTTATGATGTATAACCTTTAAGTGCAATATCTAAACGGTGTATGGTATTTATTACATCATAACATTACTGAACATAAATCTTTTGCAATATATTTAATGGTATCCCCTGTTCGTACAATGGCAGATAACAACAAACAACTATTTATTAACAACAAACAACTGTTCTGCACAATAGTTGGTCTATTATTCAATGACATTTACATGTTATAATCTGAAATATGGTGAACCAAGTTGTTTAATAAATAAAGTTGTTCAGTTAATTTGTTATTCAATAAAATATTATTGGAAATGTGTTTCCAATATACATGGAAAATTACCTAATAATAACAAAACCTTATGATGTATAACCTTTAAGTGCAATATCTAAACGGTGTATGGTATTTATTACATCATAACATTACTGAACATAAATCTTTTGCAATATATTTAATGGTATCTGATCATAAAGTCAATTATTACGTTATAAACATAATGATAAAATAGTCATGTCAGTTAATTCAGTTTTGTGAGGTCTGTAAGTTAGGTGGAATGTGACCAACTCATTGTATAACTTGATTGAATGGCAAGTAAGCTAGGACACTAATAAACATGGCATGGACATTATTCCTCGTGTGAATATACCTATGCCTTTAACAAATATTTCAGATGCACAACTAATTACATTACTTTAATAACGTACCTGTATTAATAAAATCCTTGACACCAAAAGTCTTTCGCAAACATTAGCACAGTAGCTATGGCGGTCATCTAAACAAGAACTTCCGTGTTGTTACACAGGTGCATGATGGTAAATGTAGTTAGTTAATGTCCACCCGCTTTGGCACGTTGAAGCATCTCCAGCTGTGATGAAACCGATAAACCAGTATTGCACTCACAGATATATATAAAATATCTTAAGAGAGTATTTTATTGTATGTCAGTAATGATACAAAATAAACCATATACATTATGACCCACGCTTCTTTAACATTGACAAAAATGTTTCATAGATGTTGTTCAGAATATGCTGCACACATCTTGATTGCAGAACTGTAAGATATCTGTCAAAAAATTAAAAATAAATAATTCATCAATAATTCATTAAAAACAATAGCCCAAATAAAAAAATGAGACATTTTACTTGTGCTTTCTTTCAAATCAAACTTTTTAAAAGTTCAGTAATTGAATATAAATGCAAACAAATAATTGTTGTGCATACATAATAATAATTTGTTTCCATTTATTCTCACTTGAGTGTGTGCAGTTAAAGATGCTCTCAGCCTGTGAATAGAACTCTTCTCCCAGTATGGTGCGGTAGTCCATGTGACTGCTGTGAACAAGGCACTTTGTAGCATCTTTAAAGAGCAGGTCACTCTCTCCATACTGCTGAGACTCAAACAGGTGGAACCCAGAATCTGGACGAGCTGCTATGGTTTCCTATAGCACAAAACACATCAGGTTTCGGATTCTAAAAGACTCTCAAATCAATCAAATGATAATCACTTCAGTGTGCAGACCTGTGACTTCATTAAAAGGTCATAAATGCGAGCTATAAGAACAGGACGTGTCATAACAATATTTGGAGGGATTGCCCCTAAGTTGCAGGTCTTCCACTCTGTCAGAGGAGCCCGGCTGCCATCGCCGCAGAGTAACTCAAAGTCCCAAGTGAGCCAACCCTCTGCCCAGCCACTGGTGTTTAGACCTGTCCATCAAACACATCACACATATTACCAATGAGATTCATACTGATGACATTTCTCAGAGTTTACATCTTACGTTCAATGTTGCTCTCCAGATTGTGGTGTTCCATAAAGGCCACGTCTCCAAAGCTCTTTCCACTGGGGTCTCCAACCAAGCATCTGAAGTCAAATACATTTTAAAGCCTGCAAAGCTGCACTGTTTACACTATAGTACATTAGTAATGGGAGATAAAAAATGTTTCTGTATACCATTTTATCTGAACTGTTCAGAACAGCAATTCCTCACCTTAATGCACCCATATTGCCATAGTAACGCTCATTATGGTTGTCAGCACACCGTTTTGTGGCAGCTTCCTCAGTCCCACCCATACACACCTTACATAGATTGCCTTGACCTCCTGGCAAACAACCTTTCCAAAACACCTCAGTGTACACTGAAAACAGAGAGGGTTACATTAAAGGAATTGTCCACCAAAAAATGAAAATTTGCTGAAAGCATACACACCCCAAGGCCATTCAAGATGCAGATGACATTGTAACTTTAAAGCGCTGTTTCAAACCAATCCATAATTCCAAAAAAACATTTCCTCCAGTGAAAATTCCATCTCCTGTTGTCCTCTCACATCAAAATTCACCAACATATTTGTCACTTGTAAAAGGTGCTTGATACGTGCACATTTCTCTGATTCAACCAGATGACTTTTTCATCGTAATGGTTTAAAAGTTGAAAACATCTTAATGATGGATTTGTTCATTACAAACATTTCACATTTCAATCATTTCACAAGACGTTAACTGATGAACTGGAGTCGTGTGGATTACTTGTGGATTAATGTGATGTTTTCATCAGCTGTTTTTATCAGTTGATTCTGACGGTACCCATTCACTGCAAAGGATCCACTGGTGAGCAAGTGATGTAATGCTAAATTTCTCCTAATGTGTTGCAATGAATAAACAAACTCATCTGCAATGGAATGGCCTGAGGGAAAGTAAATTTTCAGCAAATTTTCATTTTTTGGTGAATTATTCCTTTAAAGGGTCATGAAACCCCCGGTTTCAGCACTGGTTAGTTCTCACCATAGTTTTAAAAAATGCTAAAAAAGTGGGCGTGGTGCGCTGCGAGAGGAGGGGAAAGAGGGGAGACAGACAACACACACACAGCTTGGGGTTCAGACAGTTTCATTTCGCTCCCATCGAGTTAAAAACACAAATAAATGCACAGCCATTTACACTCTGTATCGAAAACATACATGGACGCGCTGTTGCACCTCTGAGAACTTTTTAAGACTTATTCTGCGGCGATTATTTAAGCCTTTTGACAGGTTGTGTCATGGAGCTGTAAAAACGGTTATACTCACTAAGTGAATGAATCGCGTTTGTGCCGAACTCTTATTAAAAAAGCAAAAACAAACACTCTCCTTCGATTCATGAACGTTTCTCTCAGATAATGTATGCGACCTCACAGTCTGAAGCGTCTGTCATAGCAAATCAACACATGCTGTTGTGAATAATTAAGCAAAGTGTCTTCTCATAGGATAAGAACACGCAATCTCATGAATAATTTAATAGACACCGACGCGTCATCGATGTACTATTAGTCCATTGCCACGTCACAAGTTGTGACGTCAACACAATGTAGATTTTAAACCCGGAAGATGAAAATAGCGCAAAAAAGCTTAAAATTAACCAGTTTTCTCCAACAGTTAAAATTATCGGATGCTAACATTGTCTTCTATGATGTGCAACACAAACACCTCTGCTAAAATCTCAGAAAAAGTAGTCTGGGGTTTCATGACCCTTTAAAGGATGGGTTCCCAGACTTTTTTGGTCAGCTGAAACACATAGACGTAAAATATTTACTTAAAGTAACCCCGTGAGATTTTAAATGAATTTTTCAATAAGGTTCTTTGACACACCGGTTAACAGTCACATAACATTAAAGCAAACAGATAAAATACTGAAACCCTGCATTAAAGGTAACTAATATATTATATTCAAACTATTTGATAAAGATACCAAGTAATAGAGAAGAACATGGAGTACCATTGTTCGGCTGACATGGGGCGCTGTTGTTGTGCTCTGTGCTGAGCGTGTGTCTTACAGGTAAAACCCAGCCAGCAGGGCTGTACATGTGACCGTGGCAGGAGCGTCTGCTGCCCAGACTTCCAAAATATAAACTCCTACTTGTCCGACGTACAACTGCCACACCATACACTGATGGTAATTCTGCATAGATAAAAAAAATGTGTAAAGACGTATGTAGAGATGCATCATTTATGCTAAGCTAATTTCAGCCCTTTATTACCATCACTTTCAAAATGGTCACAGAGCTGTAAAAACGGTTATGCTCACCAAGTGAATGAATCGCGTTTGTGCCGAACTCTTATTAAAAAAGCAAAAACAAACACTCTCCTTCGATTCATGAACGTTTCTCTCAGATAATGTATGCGACCTCACAGTCTGAAGCGTCTGTCATAGCAAATCAACACATGCTGTTGTGAATAATTAAGCAAAGTGTCTTCTCATAGGATAAGAACACGCAATCTCATGAATAATTTAATAGACACCGACGCGTCATCGATGTACTATTAGTCCATTGCCACGTCACAAGTTGTGACGTCAACACAATGTAGATTTTAAACCCGGAAGATGAAAATAGCGCAAAAAAGCTTAAAATTAACCAGTTTTCTCCAACAGTTAAAATTATCGGATGCTAACATTGTCTTCTATGATGTGCAACACAAACACCTCTGCTAAAATCTCAGAAAAAGTAGTCTGGGGTTTCATGACCCTTTAAAGGATGGGTTCCCAGACTTTTTTGGTCAGCTGAAACACATAGACGTAAAATATTTACTTAAAGTAACCCCGTGAGATTTTAAATGAATTTTTCAATAAGGTTCTTTGACACACCGGTTAACAGTCACATAACATTAAAGCAAACAGATAAAATACTGAAACCCTGCATTAAAGGTAACTAATATATTATATTCAAACTATTTGATAAAGATACCAAGTAATAGAGAAGAACATGGAGTACCATTGTTCGGCTGACATGGGGCGCTGTTGTTGTGCTCTGTGCTGAGCGTGTGTCTTACAGGTAAAACCCAGCCAGCAGGGCTGTACATGTGACCGTGGCAGGAGCGTCTGCTGCCCAGACTTCCAAAATATAAACTCCTACTTGTCCGACGTACAACTGCCACACCATACACTGATGGTAATTCTGCATAGATAAAAAAAATGTGTAAAGACGTATGTAGAGATGCATCATTTATGCTAAGCTAATTTCAGCCCTTTATTACCATCACTTTCAAAATGGCCTCCAACTCCTTCAGGATTCTCACATTTCTCTCCTAAATTTCAAATGAACCAGCAAAGAGAAAATCAAAACAAGGCGAGAAGAATTTGAAGACACGAGTGAGTATGTCATGGTACATTCGGATGTTAGATTTTTTACATACCGTAATATTCAGTCACAACAGGGACAAGGCCACATTTCCCAGCTATGAATGCGTGAGTGGCATCCAGAGACACAGCATCCACCTCATCCCTCTGTGAAAATGAACAATACATTCTGTTCTAGGCACTGCTACAAAGAACAATCACCAGTGTTGGTATTATTTTTAGTAAACAAAAAAATCGGTTCCATTAATTGAAAAAGATGAAATGAAATAAAATATAAATATTTGAGAAAAAAAATGAATTACGAAAATTATAAATGTTGCCTAGCCTTAGCACCTAACTGAAATAGTAAGTACTAAAGTGCTAAAAAGTACCAAAATCTTAAATTACTAGAACTAAAACTGAATTAAAATAATACATTAAAGCAAAACAGAATATATATATATATATATATATATATATATTCTGCTGCTAGTTAAATAAATGCCAGATTAACACCAATAACTGTATATATATATATATATATATATATA